TATGAGCTCAGTGCGGGCGCACGTGCACATGTGCGCGCGCGCATGCAAGTTTGCGTCTGTGTGTGTGTGTGTGCTTGTGTGCGCGAGAGGACGTGTGTGTGTGTGTCTTTGTGCGTGTGTATCTGTCAAAGACTGTGTGGGGAGCGGTAATGTAGTGGTTCGCGCGCCGCGCTACGAACCCGGCGACCCGAGTTCAATTCCCGCTCACGACCAACGCCAGTGACCATTATCTGAACCGGTCCTGGGGCTCCCGTAGGTCGACTCAGCATTAAATGAGTACCTGATGCGGTGTGTAAACATCGCGTGGTGCTGGCCTGCCACCCCCCTCGTGTGCCGTGCCGGCCTTCACAGGTGCTCGCGATCAGCATTTTCCCCAACAGTCTGTTAAAGGCTATGCGGGTGATCTTTGTCTATGTTTTTTTGTATATCTGCAGAAGCGGTGGCGCAGTGGTTAGCATGCTGCCCCCCGAACCTGGTGACCCGAGTTCAATTCCCGGCCATGGCTAACATGAGTCGCCTATACCTCCAATGGTACTGAGTTAACTCGGCTGTAAGTACTTGTTGCGGTGTGTAAAACACAAAACACAGGGAGACAAAGGTGGTAGGACACGATGCTAGCCACACTACCCCTGGTGCGCCATGTCGACCTTCATAGGTGCTCGCTGACAGCATATGCCCCCCCCCCCCCCAACTGGCTGTGTAGGCTATACGGGGGATCTCCGCCTTTGTGTGCGTGCTGCAGAGTGGTGGTGCAGCGGTTTTGCACGCTGCGCCGCATTCTCAGTAACCTCGGTTCAATTGCTCACCACTTGCACGTGGTTTCTAAAGCTATCCGTAGCCACCCATAAGGCAATCATCGTTCTCAGCCACGAGACATTTGAATGAAGGCTTTCCCAAGCCCTCTCCATGTCATTCGCGGTCTCACAACATAAGGGCCCATCCAGCTGCTGAACCCAAGCTGATCTCATCGCCCCACCTCCGCTGTGGATTTTAGTCTCGGCCACGTTCCCTCGGCCCAAAACATAAAAATGCACCTCTCCATGCTGCCTTGCGCCCTTTGCCAGTGTGTACGTTGGTCCACACATCAGAACAGGTAGTAGCATGCATTGTTAAAACTAAATAACTGCCTTCTTTAGAAGGCAGCAACAGCGGTCCTATCATTTGTGATCATCATCATGATCACTTCCATCATCACCACCATGGTCAGCGTGACACCAAATATCACCATCACAGTCAATTGATAATGAGCGTCCTCATTATCGTTGCATTATTACTGCAGTGAGGGAAAAAGTATTTGATCTCCTGCTGATTTTGTACGTTTGCCCACTGACAAAGAAATGATGAGTCTATAATTTTAATGGTAGGTTTATTTGAACAGTTATGAATTGATTTGCATTTTAATGAAGGAAATAAGTATTTGACTCCCTCTCAATCAGAAAGATTTCTGGCTCCCAGGTGTCTTTTATACAGGTAACGAGCTGAGATTAGGAGCACACTCTGAAAGGGAGTGCTCCTAATCTCAGCTTGTTACCTGTATAAAAGGCACCTGTCCACAGAAGCAATAAATCAATCAGATTCCAAACTCTTCACCATGGCCAAGACCAAAGAGCTCTCCAAGATGTCAGGGACAAGATTGTAGACCTACACAAGGCTGAAATGGGCTACAAGACCATTGCCAAGCAGCTTGGTGAGAAGGTGACAACAGTTGGTGCGATTATTCGCAAATGGAAGAAACACAAAAGAACTGTTAATCTCCCTCAGCCTGGGGCTCCATGCAAGATCTCACCTCGTGGAGTTGCAATGATCAAGAGAACGGTGAGGAATCAGCCCAGAACTACACGGGAGGATCGTGTCAATTATCTCAAGGCAGCTGGGACCATAGTCACCAAGAAAACAATTGGTAACACACTACGCCGCGAAGGACTGAAATCCTGCAGCACCCGCAAGGTCCCCCTGCTCAAGAAAGCACATATACATGCCCGTCTGAAGTTTGCCAATGAACATCTGAATGATTCAGAGGACAACCGGGTGAAAGTGTTGTGGTCAGATGAGACCAAAATGGAGCTCTTTGGCATCAACTCAACTCGCCGTGTTTGGAGGAAGAGGAATGCTCCCTATGACCCCAAGAACACCATCCCCACCGTCAAACATGGAGGTGGAAACATTATGCTTTGGGGGTGTTTTTCTGCTAAGGGGACAGGACAACTTCACCGCATCAAAGGGACGATGGACGGGGCCATGTACCGTCAAATCTTGGGTGAGAACCTCCTTCCCTCAGCCAGATCTGGAAAGAGGAGTGGGGCAAAATCCCTCCCGAGATGTGTGCAAACCTGGTGGCCAACTACAAGAAACGTCTGACCTCTGTGATTGCCAACAAGGGTTTTGCCACCAAGTACTAAGTCATGTTTTGCAGAGGGGGTCAAATACTCCCTCATAAAAATGCAAATCAATTTATAACATTTTTGACATGCGTTTTTCTGGATTTTTTTGTTGTTATTCTGTCTCTCACTGTTCAAATAAACCTACCATTAAAATTATAAACTGATCATTTCTTTGTCAGTGGGCAAACGTACAAAATCAGCAGGGGATCAAATACTTGTCTCCCTCACTGTATCTATTTGAAAACGACGATCATTATAGGACACAGGGATATTATGGCCATCATCGTCGTCTTTTGCCGGAACGCGCCTCCTCCATTTATTTTCATCGCAGTCTTCATCGCTTTCACGTTCACCACCAAATGATCCACGCAATTTCCGCGAGACCGTGAACGTCATCGCACTCGCCCAACTTGTTCACGTTCACTCACCGCCGACGGCCGAGCGCCGAGGCTCGCTCGGTGGACAGGCTTGGCCGGCTCGCTGGCCCTCTCTTGTTGTTTTACGGCGCGGCGCTAATGCCGGGCGGCCCGACTTGTCGCGGCTAGCCCCGCGCCCACCAGCGTGGAACGCAAACGGAACCGTCGGCAAAAAAGCGTTGCGCGGGCGGTGCAAAAATAATTTAACAGCCGAACGTGTCTCCTCATTTTTTTTGTGCGTGCGCGCGCGTGCGTGCGCGTGTGTCTCTTCGTCCCGAGACCAGAAACGACAAAAGGCGCGCAACAAAAATTGGAACAAACCGCACCACTGCTTTCGCTTCCGAAGGTTACGAAAATAAAGGCGAGGGGGGGGCAGGGCGGGGCGGGTGGAGGGGGGCCGTGGGGGGGGGGAAATTTGACGCATTTTTTCGTCTGCCTGAAAACCCCCCACCCCCCTTCCCCCCCATCCGTCCATCGCGCGGCCGGACAAAGTCAACGAGACGGCAACGTCGCCAGGGTACGTGGGGCGATGCGCGACGCGACTTTGAGGGATGTTTTCTTTAGGGGAAATTCCGCGCGGCGCACGGGAGGAAAGTTCCCGGAGAAATTGATGATGGGGGGGGAGGGGGGGGGCTTCAATGCGATAACCGCGGTTAAGGAAAACAATTATCACGCGGCTGCGATTACGATGAATCAAATAATCACGTGACTCTTAAAATGATCGTCAATGTTAATTAGGTAGTAATGCAACGATTATGAGAACACTAATCATCATCGGACTATAACAATTAATTTCAGTGTGATTATGACCGTAATGACAACGACACTGATGATAACGATGATGACCAAAATGATGGGACCGTTACGATGATGACGATAACCAAGACATTGTTACAATGGTGATCGATATCAGTGTGAGCACTGTCACCAAGATGATGACGATCACCAAAATGACCATCTGAATGTTGTTACGATGATGGTGATCAATGTCACAAAGACCATGATGAAGACATCGAGTTTCTTGTGTCTTTATATGACCCACTGGGTCTCTATCTGTGTCTGTGGGTCTCTATGTGGACCACTGGGTCTCTATGCAAGTCTGTGGGTCTCTATGTGGACCTCTGGGTCTCTATGTTGAGTCTGTGAATATCTATGTGAACCTATGGGTTGCTATGTGAGTCTGTGGGTCCCTATGCGAGTCTGAGTCTCTATGCGAGTCTGTGGGTCTCTATGTGAGTCTGTGGGTCTCTATGTGAGTCTGTGGGTCTCTATGTGAGTCTCTGGGTCCCTATGTGAACCTATGGGTTGCTATGCGAATCTGTGAGTCTCTATGCGAGTCTCTATGCGAGTCTGTGGTTCTCGATGTGGACCTCTGGGTCTCTATGTGAGTCTGTGGTTCTCTATGTGAGTCTTTGGATCTCTATGTGAGTCTGTAGGTCTCTATGCGAGTCTTTAGATCTCTATGTGAGTCTGTGAGTCTCTATGTGGACCTCTGGGTCGCTATGTAAGTCTGTGGGTCTCTATGTGAACCTCTGGGTGTCACTGCTGTGGGTCTTTGTGTGGACCTCTGGGTCTCTATGTGAGTCTATGCATCTCTATGTGAACCTCTGGGTATCTATGTGAGTCTGTGGGTCTCGATGTGGACCTCTGGGTCGCTATGCGAGTCTGTGGGTCTCTATGTGAGTCTGTGGTTCTCAATATGGCCCTCTGGGTGTCTATGTGAGCCTGCGGGTCTCTATGTGAGTCTATGGTTCTCAATATAGACCTCTGGGTCGCTATGCGAGTCTGTGGGTCTCTATGTGAGTCTGTGGTTCTCAATATGGGCCTCTGGGTCGCTATGCGAGTCTGTGGGTCTCTATGCGAGCCTGCGGTTCACTATGTGAACCTCTGGGTGTCACTGCTGTGGGGGATCTATGTGGACCTCTGGGTCTCTATGTGACTCTGTGCATCTCTATGTGAACCTCTGCGTGTCCCTGCTCGTGCAATCCACCTGCACGCATTATCTCCACAGACCTGAAAACCCGGGCCGGACTTCGTTTCTTTCGCAACCGCCACCAGTGTTCATGTCCTTTGCAGTTGCGTGCGCCACGTGCTGTTGTCCTGCACCACCATTGCTCTCATTGCTGTGCCCGCACGTGCTACTGCTGCGTGTGTGCGTGCGTGTGTGCGTGCGTGCGCGTGCGTGCGGTGGCGCGCGTCTCACTTGAAGGGGATGCGCGTGATGGTGTTGGGCGAGCTGGCCGACGCGATCACTTGCAGGATTTGGCCGAGGCTCTCGAACCCGCCGCTCAGCTGGAACGCCACCTGGTCCGCGGGGTTCTGCGAACCCAAGGGGGACGGAGACAAAAAAAAAACACGCCGCCCCGTGCGGCCTCTACGGAAACTGTCGGGGCCAGTGCTGTTCGCGATGTGCCTAGTAAGGCCGGAGCGGTGGGGTGTGGCCGGGAAAACAGGCCCGGCCGCCTTGGTCTCGCCATCGCTGATGAACCAAGATCGCAATGTCTACTCAGTGCAGGGCTGGGACAGGTTCAGTGTCGTAAATGCCGCTTGTGCTGTTTTTCAATGGGATCATAGCTCAGTCCATGAACCACGACGGCACTGCTCTGACGAGCACGGTTACTCGATCAGCCGCGTCGCGCATGGTAGGGTAGAGTGTGGGTACTGGCACATCTTCCAAAGCGAGCGTGAACGAGCAGGACAAAGTACCCTCCACAGCTCCCTTTGGTGCAGGCCCTCCATGCCAGCAGTGGGGTGTGCAAAACAATTGCTGGGCTGTGCCTTGACCGCATTTTACATTGGGATCTACATCTGCGATTGTTTGCCATCTGTCGGTCGTATCTAGTGCTGTGCACGACGCACGCGGCCACCAGAATATGGTTGGCGAGCGGGGCGAGTGGGTGGCTTGGGTGAGCGGGCAGGTGAGCAGGTGAGTGGCCAGCACACGTAGCAACCCACCTACGTTCCCGGCCGCCAAGAAGCCCCGCTTCTCACAGGGTGCTCGCCAGTTACCTCCTCGCTGCCGTTTCACCGCTCCCACCCCCCCCAACTCTCTCTGCGGCTAGCCACAGCACAGCTGTTTGTGGTCGTGCGCTGCTCCGTTGCTCTCCCACGCACCGCGCATCCTTTGGGATGACGTCCGACGCTTAGCTCCGTGTGCTACCCACGGTGGAGGTGCTGGCTTTTACCATCCAACTCTGGGCCAACCGTTTGACCAATTCAGCTGCTTTTCTAATTGATCATCTTCATGAGAGTTAAAGCTTGATTTAAAGCTTTCGTGACTGCAGGAATTCACATTCATGAGTTATCATGATCATCCCCAATACAGATGGACAGACGGAGTTAACGCATAATCGCTTTCAACTCTGCGTGGAAAGCATTAAAAAAATACCGTAGACGCTGCATCCCGTGGCTCGGTCGTATTCCACGGGTTCCCACCTCTGGGTCTCATCAGCAGCCTGCTGCCGTATCACAATTCCAACGGAGGCTCCATACCGCGGCCCGCGTCCCCCCCTTGCTCATCAGAGGCACGGCCGAGGCCTTCAGCCGCAGGGGCGTGCAGGGCGCCAAGACGCAGGTGTGGGGCATACTTAGAGAAACATCAGAGCGACCCCCCTCACCCACCCCACCAACAACCCCCCCCCCCCTCCCCGTCTAATCAGTTTCCGTGAGATCCTAATCAGATCATACGGGCGAGATGTGGTCACCGTCCAGAAAATCCATCGCTTCTTGCTTCATCGGCAGCGTCTCCCTCGAGGCTGCCTAGGGAACGACTGCCCGTCGCAACCCGCTCGCACCGCTCGCTCGCCCGTTGGCTCGCCCGCTCGCTTGCAAATTCGTTAACTCACTCGCTCGAGCGCCCACTCGCTCACGTGCACTCGCTCGCTCGTTTGCGCGCATTACGTATGCACGTGCGCAAGTTCAAAGGTGCTGCGTTAAAATGCAACGGTACGTTGGGCGAACGAAGGACAATGTAGCGATCGGGCGCTCTGCACAGCTCCAGTGTGAGCTGGTCGTAGAAGCGTAATCATCCGGCCCTCGAACCGGTCGGTGACTCGGGGGCGCGATTTGATTCAGCACGCTCTTCATTTGGTCTCAGTCTCATTTGTACCGTTTCTCATTGAGTACAGCTCGTGTGCGATTGCATATGATTTGTACGTCAATCGGAAATAACCGGTCCTCAAAAAAATCACGCACGGACACCATCCACGAATCCCGAGCGCGACAATCGTTCTAACCGACGAATCGGGGCACGGTGTCGCGCCCGGAATGCAGGGAGGGATTCCCGCACAGCAACCGCACGCGCGACACGCGCAGCCAAAGAAACGATCTAAACTCGCGCGGGCAATGCGCCGCGTTTGATCGCGAGAGCACGAATCGGCTTTTAACCGACGGCATCGTTCGTCGCTTCGTCAGTCGCCCAGTTGCGAAAAACTCGCCTGAATGACAATTAAACAATTTGCAATGCGCGAAATTTTTTCGCGGAACGGGCGAGGGCTTAACGGAAATTGGCTCCACGACGACAACGCCACTGCCGCCACCGCCGCAACGCTCCAGCGCAGTTGGAAACCCAAGCCGTAAAAATCAGCAATGTTCCCATTTTTTTTTATTTCTTCAGTTAAAAGAAACTCATACGGGCGTAAACGCCGGGCAGTTTAGCCCGGGCTTCAGATGGAGAGGCCTATGAGGCGTGGCTAATGACTGCTGCCCTGGCCGTTAACGACATCAGCTGGTGGGCGGGGTGGGGGGGGGTGAGGGGGGAGGTGATAGGGGGAGGTGACGGGCACTTGGGTGAACGCTGCGGGGTGGGGTTAGGTCAGCGGTTCTCAACCTCTCTGGTACGCTGGGCCCCCTAATCGAGATCACCGGCTGGTCCCCACAAACCCCCCCCCCTACCACCTCCAGGCCGCTGAGCCCCCCCCCCGCCCCCCCCCCCCCACCTCACCCCCACCCAGATTACTCAGGCCACAGTACACAGAGAGATCGCATGTCAACGTCTCTCGTCTACGCGGTGTTAGCAACGCATTTGTTTCATGTTGCGTATTACTGTGTTTTGGAACCACCAGGTTAGGGGATGGTGGGGGGATGGTGGGGGGATGGTGGGGGGCAGTTATGGGAGACGTGAGGGCGGTTGTGAGAAGAAGAATATCTGAAGCCTCCGATGTCATGTTCTTCCAGGGCGCCCCCACCTGGGTCTTGGGTTCAAGGGCTCCCAGGTGCTTCAGCGCCGCGCCGGGCCGGGAACGGGAGCCAGGGCGGCGTGCCACCCCAAACCGTGCCGGCTCGCAGCATGCCGACTCTCTGCTGCCCACACGTTTCTGGGCAGCTACTGAGCCACGCGTGGTGGCGCAGGGGGATGCCACCAGTCCCGTTTTTCCCAGGATCTGTTCTCTTGTTGAGCGAGGAGGCGGTTTCTTCCCAGGGAAATCTGTACATTTTCACTGGACATCAAATGTTCCGGGTTGTTGTCAGTCGTGTAACAATGCTACAGCACTCGGGACAATGCATTCACATGGAGTGGTCCTTATTGTCAGATATTCTTCTTCTTCCCATGAAGCATTTGTGTTTTTTTAAAAATTGGAGGTGGTGACCGTAAGTGGCAAGACACGTCTATGACCCCACGCTTTGGAGTGAGGGTTGATTGATCACGTAGAGATTTGTAAACTCCCGTAACCCCTGCTGGGCTGCATGCAAGGTGGCCGATCAGATGGCAGAAGAGCAAGGGGCTTGTAAACCTATCTGTGCGGATCTTTTGAGTGTTTTTTTTTTTCCGCATGCAATTTTGCTACCACATGCACAACAATCATCCACGGAGTTGGCCACACATCACAGTGTAGCAGGACCTTCCTGAACTCGAACCTTGAGACTCGGTGAGGATTTCCAGAAGACATCACGTGGTAGCGCCTGAGCGCCGTGTTCAGCCTGACGATCCCCAGTGCACAGATCAACCACGGCTCGACTCCCACCGCGTTGGGGTTCAAGGTTCCATTCACGCCGAATAGCAACAACATTAATAACGTTCAGTCGTGTCAATCCACTGCTGGATGAAGGCATCGTCATGCCGCGTCGGTTCACGGGAGAGGGTCGTGTCGATGACCAATTTGCGAGCGCAGGCCTCGGAAATCTGGCCGTCGATTTTGCAACAACTCCGAGATCCGGCAGCAGTGAGGAAACAAAGGCGAGGGGCGCTACCGATCGTGACGACCTCTTGACCTTCACCGGATTCGATTACGAACGACACACTGTTTTGCGCTATCGTGGGCACCGGTATCGAAATACCTGCAGATGTCACCGACCCGTGTATCGCTGCGTGTAATGGAATAGCACAGCTGCAGGTTACTGGCCCCGGCACTGCCGCCCGGCTTTTCGAGGCAGAAGCCACCCGTTCCTCGGTGCCATCGGTGGAATTTCTCAAAATCCGGCTCAGCCGTCTCTCAAGGGAGGCGGTTGTTCCGAGGCAACCACCGGCTTGGGTTCCTTTACACCCCCAGGGGGGGGGGGGGGGCAGAGTAATATTTAACCTCTAAAGATGGCATTGAAAGGAACAATTAGCGAGCCATAAAAGTTGTAAATACCAGCTCAGCGGACCAAAGATACACATCGAAATGTACCCCCCGGTTCGGTCGCAGCTTTTGCCATCCGAGGCTGCGGGGGGGGGGGGGTGGGGGTGGGGGTGGGGGTGGGGGGGGGGCGAGGAAGGAGACGCGTCCCGACGGCCGGCGCCAGCGGCGTCCCGAAGGGAGGCGCGCTGCACCTCGCTCGTCGCTCCTCGCCGGCGCGGCGACCGTGCTGCTGCTGCTGCTGCTGCTGCTGCTGCTGCCCGTTCTCTCTTCTTTGGCCCTTTCACTGCTGCTGCTCTATGCTCCGGTGGTGTGTTGGGGGGGGGGGGGGGAAGGTTTTGGGGGGTGGGGGGCTTAAAAGCCATAAACAGCGCTAATGCGAGCGCTTTTGCCGGCGGCGGTGGCGACGGCGGCACTCTCCAGTTGGGGCCGGTGGGCGTTGGCGAGGAGGAGGAGGAGGAGGAGGAGAAGGAGGAGGAGGAGGAGGCCCCCGCTTGAGCAAACAGCTCGGGGCGGCCGACTTGAGATGCGGGAGATTACCGCTCATTCCGCGAGCCCGGCCCAACCCCAAGGAGGGACGTGAAACAAAACGCACCGAGCGTCGGACCGCTGTCCTGCTCCTACACGCTACCCCCGCCTCCTCCTCCTCCTCCTCCTCCTCCTCCTCCACCTCAGCCACACTCCACCCTGATATGACCCCTGCTGTCACCTCGGTGTCACTGAGGCTAAGACGGGGGCGTCTTAAAACTATCCAGCATTTGC